CCTGCTGAATTTGTCTCATGCTTTTTCTATCCCATTACCTTTAGTGTTGTTCAGAAAGCAGTTGTATTTCTTCTCAGATTTCCTTCTTCTGAACTAAAAAAGCAGAGATTTTTGTGTTGTGTTGGTTTTTTTCTGTACCTGAATTTCTTTTTATTTTGATCCGTCAAGAAATTCATCTTTATAACAATGTGACGTTGGATTTTGCATTATTTATCTTAAGAAAGGAAAGGATTTAACCTTTTCCAGCTTGTTGAGAGATATGGCATAAGATGGTTGTGTTAGAAAGCCTCAGGAATCTCTAAATTATGTTATGTCATGATAAAAAACCAAAAATTGAGATTCTTGGCCCCCCAGCTGCACTCAGAAAGTTTTTTTTATAAGGAAGGAGTGTTTGTTATTTTTATTATTTTAATAGATACTTGCATTTCCCAGAAGCATAAAGAAGCCCAGCCAAATGTTCAGTTACACCTGAAGTGCTTTTTACTAAAGACAGAATGTCCTTTGCTCGTCCTACATCCTGAAAAAAAGGAGAGTATTTAGCACCTGCAGGACCTGAAAAGTCTGAGTGCAAGCAGCCTGCTCTGCCTGCAGGGCACCAGCAGCAAAGCAATGCTCAGCTTTGCTCTCAGCAAGGAGAACTGAATCATCCTGATGAAACTTACAGATTATCAAACTAAATTCCCCTTTCCTGCCCACATGTAAATACAGTCTGCAGCCCAGTGTCTATAAAAGATGTACATTCTTTTCAGGAGGTGCCTTAAATGCATTGGGGGCCTTTGAAGAGAGGCTTTGCAGGACTTCTCAGCCTGTTGAGCCTCACTGTCCAAACTGGAAGGGAGCTGCAGGAGTTTGTGGATACTGGACTAAGGAGAGTGGCTCTGTTTCCATCCTGGCTCAGTCTCATTTTGCTTCAGTCTCTCTTTGCATCAGCGCATGTTTGAGGCGTGAAAAAATAGCAAGGAATTCTATTACTTTGATTTGGGAGAGGCACAGATGTTGGCTTTTCTGTGGCCCTCTGAAAATATGCCAGTGTGTTTGCAGAAATCTGTGGGAAACTTGCTTATGGGTGGTGTTTTTTGTTTGTTTCTCCTCCTTCTTGTGAAAGGTCAGTTCAGCATCAGTTTCCTTCCTTATCTGTTGCTTGGCTAGTGGCAGTGACAGAACTTTATAGACTCAACTTAAAAAGCAATGCAGCACTTAGGAATTCTACTGGAAAATGCTGTGAAGTGGTGCCACAAAGTGGCCGGAGCATTTTATGAAATAAGCTGATGTGGGATCTTTAATATGATCTTTATTGTCAGTTTTGGCTCTTGTTAAAACTTGTATGGTTATTATAGCCAAGTCATGCTAAAAATGTAGAGTAATTAATAAAGCTGAGAAAAGCACAACTTGCTGAATACTTACAGTATTTGGTCTAAAAAGGTGCTACTTTCGTTTGTCTTTAAACCTTGCTTTTGTTGTAGAGATTCTTCATGTGACAGAGTCACTTACAGTAGTTTATTTGAAGAAAGCCTGTATATTAGATGTGTGCAAGCAAAATCTAACACAGACGAAAACTGGTACCATTTCTTCTCTTCTGCTAACACAGATTTCTCCTAGCATTGGGAATGTACTCTGGAAAACAAAAAGAACATCCAAATAAACACACAAAAAAAACCAACAACAAAGGACAGAAAGCAAAGCTTACTATTCCAGAGTTTGTCTTCTGAGGTGCTTATGGTTTCTGAATTGGGCACAGCAGTGCTGTCCTTGCACTTCCGTGTCACTGTTGTTGGGCAGTCAAACTGAGAAGTAGAGTTTGTCTGTACAGCAAGACTTGTGCTTTTTACACTAAGTAGAAAATAAATGCGCATTTCATTATTCTCTTACTGTCCTCATGACTTCAGCCATGGAAAGGCAGACGTACAAGAACTGATGGCAAAGCAAAATGGAGTGAACTCTCCCAGTGTTTTACACTGTAATGCACATTATGGCCAGGGAAGGGGATGAAGCTTCACAGGTTCATCAGCACTGGACTGTCTGACCATGCTGGGCTTTTCTGCATTCTCCTGTTGTTTTCTTTTTGAGGAGGTGTCCGTGCCCATGCAGGGGGGGCTAGAACTAAATGATCTTTAAGGTCTCCTCCAAATCAAATCGTTCTGTGATTCTATGATTTGAAAGAAGCTAAATAAATTGGATTTTATCTGTCTTTCTAGGTGAAATCTGTGATAAATCTGCTGTTTGCTGCCTACACAGGGGATGTGTCTGCACTCCGAAGGTAAAAATTGGTGCGGGGTTGGGAATAGAGAAGCTGCTTGTTTGGTACCTGCTGTTGTTGTTTACTAATGATTATAGTAATCTGTGTCCATGCTTGGGAGGGACATCCATGCTGCATCTGAGATTCAGAATGTTCTTTTAACACAGGCTTAATTACTGCATTTTAGTAGTTACGTTTTCCTGCCTCCTTTGGTTGAATGCATTTGGAAAGAAAATGTTTGAAAAATCATTTCGGTGCACAGGTAGAGAGAGAAGTACGTGTCTTTAAACAAACAAAACAACCCCCCCAACCCAAAGAAAGAAACACCCCTAGAACCTAACCATCTGAAGGTGCCCTCACGCTGTCCTGTAATCCCATTGTTTTCTGTTTCTTTTGATTGTAGTGAAGAAATTTCCTTCACCAATTGTTTGATAGTGATGGCAGGAAATTCTACCTGTACCCCAGCCTGCTTTGTAAGTCAGTTGTGAAACTGCCACAACAAATCAGGCTGGAAAATGCCCCTGCCTTATTTTTTAAGCCAAAGCAGGAAGAGCTCCTGCCATTATAGCTGAAGATATGATGTGCTCTTGATACCATTGATTTCCCCTTGCAGCAGGTGTTTAATCGTTTTTAGCACAGGAGTATTGTTGCATGCAATTTTGTAACTTGTTTTAATTATGTAAGACTGCTCTCTAATAGTTTTGGGGTTTTTTTTGGTTTTGTTTTCTTTTTTAGATTTGCTCTGTCGGGAATGGACATGGAACAAAGAGACTATGACTCAAGAACAGCCCTGCACGTAGCAGCTGCAGAAGGTAGTCCTTCCTACTCTGTGTATTTGTTCTCTGTTCATGGAACATGGTCAGTTTTCTTCAGAGTTTCTTCAACTCTCCATACATTCATACCTGCCTTTGAAAATTTTGTGTGCATATATGTATATACATAGATATATATATAAATACATACACTCACGGTCCTGCTTTTCTTACAGGACATGTGGATGTTGTTAAATTCCT